CATTCTCAAAAAATTATACCGGAAGAAACATAGCATTCATTATCAAATTAAATGTGTAAAGTAATTACAGAAAATTTCTGCATGCTAACATAAGGAAGCTGAGCAATTAAACATGGCTGGTTTTATTTTAATTTTCTTATTGAGTGGACAATGCCTTAGTTAGCTTTTACGATAATTCCATATAACATTTTAGTTTGTCATATTTGGATTTATGTAAAAGTTTAACCTAAATATAGTTGGAAAGTCAAGACAAATTCTGTGATTGCATCAGATAATCACCCCGTAACAACCCTAATCAAAACGTTTAAGCACACCTTAATGTCATTATTTTTAAAGTAGGTGTATATTTTACAAATGAAATATGAAAATCAACCACCAGATTAAAACAATATTTTTCAATATAAACGAAAATATACAATGGCACAACAATAATAGTAATTATAACGGATGTTTGTTATTATTTTCTCAAACGTGTACATATGTTGATTTATCAAAAAGACTTACAGTCCAAGGGAATGTACTCCTCGAAACATTTCTGAACATCTCACTGCGTAGTTGAACTTTGACCTTTCAAACAGTTATTACCCCTATTGCAATAAAATCTTGTTATAATAGCTACTCCTCTGAAACCGTAAACTGAAAAGATACCAAACCTTCACTAAAAACTTCATGTAAATTAGTACACTCTTCAATCCGCTCAGTGCGAAAGGATTCATCAACCCCTTATTGCCCCTGAAAGTTTTCAATGTTTGCGTTAAATAAAAGGTTTTTAAAACGATTAATTATAGAGACGTGGGACTAACTGCATTGGAGTTATCGACCTTTGACCTTGAAATTTGGGTCAAAGTCATTCAAAATATATTAGATAACATCTCATAGTTAATATGATCTTTTCAAAACAATTTTATATGTTTAATACCCCTTTCACAATAAACCTTGTCTTCGCTACTCCTTTAAAACCGTAAACAGCACAGACATCAGACCTTTACCAATGTCTTTTGAAACTTCAATTATTCAGTGTGAAAGGGTCTGACTCCACGTTATGTGTTTTTTCAATTTTACTGCCATTTGAATTCTTTTTATTAAATATTTAATTTTTCAAGACAAATATATAAGAATATATATTAAAACCTTAAAAGAGATGGAAAGACCTCTGTTCTTCTGTGAACAATTAGTCTACAAGTTGCTATAGCAATATGAACACGACTGGTGAGTTCTGTAAATTGAAATATGTAGACCATCCCTCTGTCAAATGGAATATGTATGTCGATAATCAGTTCCTTTCAGTATGTTTAATATAACAGGATATAACAATCACGGCCTTTCCAGATCCGTTTCAGCATGTTTATAAACCAAACTTAACATGAAGTGTTTGCAATTGAACTATAATCAGTAGGTTCTTACAAATTACATCCAAGAACAAAATTAAACAAGAGGACCATTGGTCACAACGTTTTGTTTGTTTGTTGTTTAACGTCCCACTCGAGAATTTTTCACTCATATGGAGACGCCCTGGTCACAACGTTCACCTGAATCTCCTTGGACATCCTCTTCTCCATCACAACATTTAGAAAAAAATCAGTTTTTATTGACATGAAAAATTCTTATTCCATGTTGTTGCTCCACCTAAGCATCAACGGGTCAAGAGCTTACCTAATTGAATCATTTTCACAATCATTGATTTTAGAGTTCAACGTGCCCGTCTCTTTACTTATTATTTCTCTATGTTTTAAATACCATTTTTGGTCAAAGAAACTTGCTTCCTCATGTGTTACATTAGATTGAAGATATGAATAATATATGTCTGACTTTCTAAACTGTGACACTGTGCTTTTTTATCTAAAAAAAAAAAAACCTTGGTACGGCTGGTCGGCAGAGAAATGCAGTACATCGACCACAGTCAGCACTTTTTATATGTCTCTATCAAAAACACGGACATGTTATTCCCATTTTTTGTTCTCAGTTTTATGGGGATAACCATTTATTAATCAAGCATGGCCTTTGAGAGTAAAATGGTCATTTTGAAGTATTTAAAGTATGGCACTATTGGCATAAAATTTGTGCATGCCAAGCCGCAATGCTTTCTAAACAGACAGTTTTGCAATGTGCAATACAACTAACTCAACATATTTAAATGTAATGATTCAAAATAAAGTCTCGTAGGCTACTGACCTACTTACACCATGTGATTGCACTATAATATAGAGACAAAATATCGGTTTTGAAGTCGATTCTGACGAGTAAATACAGATCTTATAACTTACAGAATAGAAAGTCTCGTTATCATGAAGTGTAGATTCTACAAACTCATAATTTTACAAACATTAATGTACAAAGCATGGTTAAAAGCTTTGCTTCTACCAGTAGTACTGCAAGAAGTCAGAACAAGTGAATTTCTTTCAATGAAAGCTCATGACTACCTCGATCTACCTTGTCATTGTGTAAAAGATTAGTTAGATATTATAATGCATTAAATTCAGGACATTAAATTGACAAGACATTCATCTAGGCTAGTGTATTTCACAATTACCATTCAGTAATTGTCTAATCGAAAATTTGAATTTAAATAATAATTCTCTAAATCTTCATTGTAGAGAAATGGGGAGGAAATTATTTACACTAAAAGGATCAAAGTTGGCAATTTTCATTCATTATCGGGTTGAATTAACGATGGATTCTTTTCCTTTAATATTCTGGCAAATAAAATTTAATATACACCTGAAGTTTATCTTACATAAAATATGAAGAATTCAACAAAACTATTCAATGAAAGATAATTATATTTGTTCCAAAGAAAAAAGTAAATATTCATGAATACCACTTTTGTCTCTGTGTGCATATAGCACCTTTACCATAGGGAAATTGAGGCAATGGGTAAGTTCCTACATCACATACAATCCATTTCGTGGGGACTTTAGTATACTGTGGAATCATTAGATTTCGTAGTGGCTCTATGTATTCGTGGAATTTGTGGGTATCCTGCATCAACATGCTCAACGAATTTATACTTGGGGTTTGAAGAGTCATGTTTCCTTTTTTACAAATAAGTCAGTGCACAAAATTACGTCCCTTCGATCCTGTGAAAATTAAGCAATCCATGAAAATTGGCACCCACCAATCTTAATGATTCTTCAATATATGAAGATGATACTATATCAAATTCTTTTTAGTATTTTAAGTAACCATGGTAACACCATTCATCGAAATCAAAAACTGAGAAAAAATTATGTACAGTGTATCTGTGTGTAGTCTACTTGTGTTTCAAGTTATACTTAACTCAGACCAAAACTGTAGGAGGAGTAACATTCTGAAAGTATTTCACAGAAATATCTATTTAGTAACCTTGGTAACAGTGTTCACTGAAATCAAAAACTGATACACAGAATTATGTATCTTGGAGAAGTCCACTTGTGTGCCAAGTAATATTGAAACTGTAGGAGGAATAGCCTTTTTGAAAGTATTTCACAGGAATTTCTATTTTTCTATCATATATAATTTATGCATACATGAAAAAAGTAGTTCAATTCTTTTTCTGCCGTAACGAGCAGCGAATGACTCGTACGGCATGATTTAAGAATACTCTATTTCTAGTACCAATTGCCTGTTAACCGTGCATGATGCATCGTTCAACATTTTTATTGAAACATTATTCTATACAATTTATTCATAAAAATAGCCACAATTTAGAACGCTGTCTATGGAAAAAAGGTCCATAGGAATGTAGAAAACTCGATCTTTTGTTGCACTGGAATGAATTATTTTGCAAAGGTGATGGAAGTTAATTTTTGCTTAAAATACATTGTACGTACTTGACGAAGATAATTGACATTGAAACACATTTTGTCCTGTTTTAAAACTATGGCCCAGATTGAGCTATGCTTTTGCAGCTGAAAAAAATTCAGTGCCATATTTAACAAGAACCAAGGCAACTGCTAAAGAACAAATCTTAAATTTTAATTTTTGACAATTTTATGGCATACAAGATTGTGAAAGTGTTGGAAATCACTTCGATGAGAGTTCAACAAGTGTACAACATGCAGGCCCCGTTCTTGCATCGCCCTATCCATAACAGCCATAAACTAAACATAAAAAGGAAACTTGGCAATTGGACGAATTCCAGTTATCCCCAACTCTATCAGTCAAAATGATACGTTACACACTTATTATTATCTTTAAATTGAAAGCTTATTTCTTCCTTCCTGTGTAACATCTGTGAATCTATGTATGATATAGATATGTATCAAATGCCCTTGTCTTACCTTTACCGGCAACACAGGGGCCAATATGTCAAGCACAGCTGCAGGGTTCTCTGTAATGTATTTAAAGTTTTTCCTGTGTATCGAAAAGACATGAATGAATTTAAGAACGAATTTTTCTAAACTATTTGCTCTACTATTTGACACTTATATAAGATATGAATTTTCATGTCCCAAAAATATAATATTAACGCCTTCTGGAAATGTACTTTAATCTGCTATAAAGCTGTCAAAAACTTTTCATTGGTATCTTAGTTTGAAACTACACCTACCCAATTCTGAATCTCTAACATACTTTTGATAAAAAAAAAAAAAAAAAAAAAAAGAGGGAGGGGAAGAAAATTCGACTAAATGGTTAGAATTTCTTAAAATTGAAAATCATTATCCTTTCGAAAATATCCAATTCCACTTAAGAAGGTTTGTATTGCACTAAGTCTTTAATGTCTTGTTTAAGACCATTTATTGTTAAAGTAATAAACGGCGTATTTTTTATAAGTTCAGACTACTAAAATTAAAAAGATCTTTCTATTTGTTTTATTACTTTGTACATGTGTTCCTGTATATTACACAATTTAAATCCATCACGTTTCAAAGATATTAGAAATTAAAACAATACTAATTATAATGTCGTGAAAAAAGAAATGTTAAAATCATTTTCCCTTTTATTTCAGAATTGCAACCAGCATACATGGCTCACGATATAAATACACCTTGGTGGCAGTTCTTCTTCTGGTAGTCGGTTTCATGTTTTTTGTGCCACGAAGACACTGGGAGCAGTACGTAAAAATCCCTTCCGTCTCCGATCCTCTTCCTCAAACAGAAACTTACAGGAATGACATTCAAACAGTTAATCTTCCTAAAGGTGCTGATGGTATCCCATATGCAGAAATAGAAGTAATACGAAGAGACTGTGGGCAGCTCTGCAATACTTCGCGACCCGGTACACCAGGACCGTATTTCGACCATATTACAGCACCAATAAACTGTGTTGCAATCTTTAAAAATGAATACATTGATAAAGGGCATGGTTTGAAGGTAGCTCCAAAAAAGATTCCAGAAAGACTTCTTAAGGATTTTACAATGAATTTTCGACTGCCAGTATCAGATTATTACTTCGACAGTCCATATTTCAATGCAAAGAGTAGAACACCAATATGGACAAAAGAAAGTGTAAATCAACAGGTCTCTCTAGCAAGGAGAGGAGTTTTAGGTGGAAATTATGGCAGTTCTGAAACTAACGCGTTAAGAGATGGATTACAGCATGCTCCTGGCGTCAAAGGTGGGCGTGTCTTAGTCATAGGGTCTGAGAACCCATGGGTTGAGGCATGCGTATTGGAAGCCGGCGCGAAGGAAGTTGTTACTCTTGAATATGGAGAAATTAAATCCCTGCATCCGCAAATTAAAACTTACATTCCTAGAGAATTTAGGAGAGCTTTTCTAAACAAGACACTTGGTGAATTTGACGCTGTGGTAACATTTAGCTCTGTTGAACACTCTGGTCTAGGTAGGTATGGCGATGGCATTAATCCTTGGGGAGATATCATTGCAATCGCAAGGGCATGGTGTGTGACTAAAACAGGTGGATCGCTAACAATTGGAGTAATGTATGATAATGAAAAAGATTATATCAGATACAATGCCGGACGATGGTATGGGAAAATTAGATACCCGTATCTCGCCACCAACTGGAAACAACACTACAGAGGACGTGGAATTCAAAGAGTTCATGTGTTCATAAAACCATAAAACTAGACAATAGGAACATAATTTCTTCAGAATACTCCTTGTTTAGAATGTTGTTTGTGTATGTGCTATGTTTGTACAGTGTATTCAACTCAGAATCTTGGATATGGAAGAAAATTTTACGAAAAAGATTACAGGAATTCACCCATTGCAAACGGCAGATAGTTACTAAAACGATTGAGAGTTTTGTAAATGTAAGTAGCTATGGGTGCTTTGCTTCCAAATGCAAATTCAGCGTAAGCCTTAATATGCAATAAAACATCGAGTGTAGTGGACTTAATAGGTATTTATATATATATATATTTTCCTTTCGTCATTAAAACCACAATTTTTCATCCTGTGTTTTTGTCCTTGAGCATTTTTTAATCCCCCCCCTCCTTTTTTTTGTAACCTTGATTTTTATGGAAACTCAAGTGTAAAACCGTTTCTTTCTTGTTGCTACATTTCATCTATTTCCAATAACGGATTTTGAAAACAATTTAAGAGTAAATTTGTTTGAGAGGAATGAAACCTAGGCCAATGTTTATTATTAAAAGGCCTTATGAAGCATAAAACCCATTAATTACTGAAACAAAACGCTTTCTGATAATTATGCATAACAAACTTGAAGTGAGAGTGGAAATTCGTTATTTCTCAACATCAATTTATAGTCTTAACAGAGAATCGGAAAACGTTTCTATCAAATTTCGAAATGTTAACTAGCATTAGAAATCAGCTTAAGTTTGTTTTTTTTCCCCCCAATATATCACATTTACTTGATGTAGATAACAAAACGATGTTAAAAGTCAGATTCTTCTGAGTATCCGTTGCAGTACCAAAATTTCATTTTTCAATAGAAAACAAGATGTGTTTGTGAAACACTGATGCCCCTGTATGGCAGCTTATGGCAAAGGTTAAAGTTTCTTATATGCAAGTCAAACTCCAAGAGGTCAAGAGATCAAAAATGTTGGTACCCAAAGAAAGGTAATGTCTCGAGGAATATACCTGTGAAATTTGAAAGCCGTAACTCCAACTGTTCAAAGGTTATGGTGAAGGTCTTTTAAAAGTAAGTAAAACGTCAAGGTCAAGGTCAAATGGGCCCCAAGGGAAGGTCTTGTCACAAGTGATACACATGTTCGTGAAATGTGAAAGCCCTAGAACCAAACGTTCAAATGTAATGGCCAAGGTTAAAATTTTTTTTAAAGGATGTCAAACTCCAAGGTCAATGACAAAATTTTTGGTATCCGAAAGTCTTGTCCCAAGGAATGCAGATGTGAAGTATGAAAGCCGTAGTACCAAATGTTTAAAAGGTATGGCCAAAATTGAAGTTCTTCAAAAGTAGATCAAACTCCAAGGTCAAAGGGTCAAAGTTGTTGGTATCCAAAGGATGGTCTTGTCACAAGGATTACATATGTGAAGGATGAAAGCCCTACCACTAACCATTCAAAAGTTATTGCCAAGATTTAAAGTTTTTCAAGAGTAGATCAAACTCCTAGTTCAAGGTCAAAAGGTCAAAGTGGTTGGTATCCAAAGAAAGGTCTTGTCACAAGGATTACATATGTGAAGTGTGAAAGCCCTAGCACCAACCATTCAAAAGGTATGGCCAAGGTTAAAGTTTTTCGAAAGTAGGTCAAACTCCTAGGTCAAGGTCAAAAGGTCAAAGTGGTTGATATCCAAAGGAAGGCCTTGTCCAAAGGATTACCGATGTGAGGTATATATGAAAGCCCTAGTACCAACCGTTCAAAAGTTATGACCAAAGTTAAAGTTTGTCAAAAGTAGGTCAAACTCCTAGGTCAAGGTCAAAGGGTCAAAGTTGTTGGTATCCAAAAGAAGGTCTTGTAACAAGGATTACATATGTGAAGTATGAAAGCCCTAGCACCAACCATTCAAAAGTTATCGCGAAGGTTAAAGTTATTAAAAAGTAGATCAAACTCCAAGGTCAAAAGGTCAAAGTGGTTGGTAATCAAAGGAAGTACTTGTTACAAGAATTTCATATGTGAAGTATGAAAGCCCTAGTACCAACTATTCAAAAGTTATGGCCAAGATTAAAGTTTTTTCAAAGTATGTCAAACTCCAAGGTCAAGGTCAAAGTGGTTGGTATCCAAAGGAAGGTATTGTCACAAGGAATACACATGTAAAGATTCAAACCCCAAGCACCAACTGTTCAAAAGATACGGCCAAAGTCAAAGTCTCATAAAATTTTGGGTCAAACTCCAAGGTCAAGGTCAAAAGGTCAAATATGATGGTACCCAAAGAGAGGTCTTGTCACAAGGAACACACATGTGAAATATGAAAGTCATAGCTCCAACCGATCAAAAGTTATGGGCAAGGTTAAAGTTTTTGCGGACAAACAGACAGACAGACAGCTAGAAAGAGGGACGGACGGACAGGGCAAAAACTATATACTCCCGTATCTTCGATACGGAGGCATAAAAATACAGTTTCTGCTTCCATTAAAGATTATGCCGGACTTCATGAAACCTGAGGTGTATCAAAATGGTACGAACTCAGGTTTTAATAAAAAAAATCTTATATACGTAATTGAATGGGAACCCCTCTTAAAAACATAGGCCACATTGTGAATAGTGTCGTTAACTTAAAAAAAAATCTTGCTACACAATTATTTTTTTTATGTTTGAAAATCTGATTATATAATTCTGCAAAAAAACGTCCAAAATAAAATATTTAACAAATTGAATAATAATGACCTAAGCATTCCGAAAATAATCAATAGGAATGGTTGTTTAATTTTGACGTAATCATTCTCAAATGTTTCTAATTCTATGAAAGAGCAATTTGACTCTTAAAAACATGCAAACCTAATTAAAACACTTTGAAATCTTCATTGTCCGTAAGATCGAGACCAATATTCAAGGATTAAGTTGGTAACTCTTACCACGAAATACAACCTTGTCATCGTTTCAATTCATTTAATCGCAAGTACGTCCCCACGAAGGAGTAAAATTTGGTTACCCAAGAAATTTGACCCCCAAGAATTTAAATGATTCCAGTAATCAATTTTCATTTGATTTTTTTGATTTTTCATTCCCAGGGTACTTTAATTGAATTAAATGTTAATATATATAAATAATATACTGAGTAACAAAAGGATTGAATGAACGATTGATTGATTGCCATTTTGTAACGCCGAGTCAGCAATATTTCAGTCATATTTTGGCGGTGTAACAAAATGAAAGCAGAAACATAAACACAATAAAAATGTTGCGGTAATTTAGATTTTGTTTCTCTACAATCACTAGTATACTTTTAAAGACATAAAAACAAGACAGCTAAATTATGTTTAAAATGAATAAATTGTTTGGCCTGAATCAAACTGCATTGCAAGGTAAGATGGATAATATATATAACAAATATTCCTTTATATATACCAGGTAGATTGAATTACCATGAATATAACTTCTTAATTAATGAAAATTAATTTCAAACATTCTAACAGAAAATTACGATTACATTTATTTTAAAAAACATTCAGAGTCATTATTTTTTTTTTCAATATCTCAACAATATTCAGTAGGTACAGGAGATTAAACTTGAATTTAAAAAAAAAAATTGGTTATAGCATTTCGGTTTAACAAAAGTTTCAGGTTACTCATTTTTTAATTCACTAATACTGTGGAATCATTTTAATTCGTCTGGGTCAATGTCAGTGGGCGATCAAAATTAAATTGTTTCGTGGGGACATGGATTCAATGTACCGGTACGTTGACACATGTATTATTCGTCGGGATCTACATCCATGGGTAGGAATGCCCCCCCCCCCCCCCCCCCACGAAATTCGCGAACATAGATCCCCAACGAACAATTGTAATTCCACAGAATACACGCATTTCAATTTTTTTCACCGGTTTTATCTTTTATATTTAGGTACGTTTTAATTACTTAAAAAAACCAAAGAATGCTGCTTATTAAACGTTGCAAAATCACTTAGAAAGGAATTTGTTAGTTTGTAAATATGATAACCTTGCATGAACAATTTAATAATTATCTTAAAATTTATTTGTTAGTACATGTATATGCAATTGCAATGAATATCTATTAAAACAAATCAGAACTGTAATGGCTTACACTCAGTGAGCATTAAAAGGGATGTTTTAGATTGGATTTAGAATTATTTTTGGTTGCAAAATATACATATGTAATATACAGCAAATCAGACTTATCAGAAAATCAGAAAATGTCAAAAATTCGGGGGGAAATATAAATTGTCATGAAAATAATGCAAATAACTGTTTTGTGTGATGCATCAAGTAAAATAAAATTTGTCATAATTAATGAATGACAACTTCTAAAGCAAATTTCGAGGAAAAAAATCCCACTCGCATTTCAATCTTACCAAAATGTTCATTAACTGAACGACCTACACAGAGCACGCCAAGAGGAAAAGTCTAGAAAATTTTGGGAGGTAAAAATTTAAATGGGATTTTTAAATTCCACTGAAGCTTTTCACGATACGTCCCACCTTAAGTTGATAAAGATTATACAGTGTCAAATATCACGCTACACCTGAAAATATTACATGCTGTGATCTTCTTTTAACTAATACTGAAAAACGCTGACCATGTAATTCTGGCGTATGGACACATGTCAGTGTTCAGAAAAGGTACATATAACTTTACTTCATTTATTCTTTCAGATTCTTCGTAGGAGGAGAAAAGAATGATGATATACTCTTGTTACAGGTCTTATTCAAATAAATACGAAACTAACGTTGACAGAATTTTGGAGAAGTTTCCAGCTTATATATTAGTAGTATATTATTTTCTGAAGGGAAATCAGCTTTTATGTCTTACAACTTTTATTTCCTATAAGACGTGTAGTGCTTCTTTGATGGACAATCGATGTTTTTGTTTATGTTGTCTTTCTTATGAGTTGTTGCTCTTGATGGAAGACATGATATAATTGGGTTTCGTTTTACAAATCCGATAAAAAGATTAGGTTGAAAGATCCCTGTGATAATTATTCAGAAAAAAGAGGAGTGCACTAAAGGCGTCCTAGATAAAGGA